TTTTTTTTTTTTTTTTTTTTTTTTTACCGAATGTAGCTTGGGAGCTGATGGGGATCTCGAATCGGACGGCCCCAAATGCGACTCTGAGGCGGAGAATCGGTGCCGGTGACTCTGATTTGTCAGTTCGCTTCTGAACCAGCATTCCGCCCGGCCTCATTTCCCAGTCGAGGGGCTCGTCGCCGGCAGCGGCAGAGGAAGAAGAAGAAAACGACGTCGTTGAGGATGATTCTGCAGCTTTACCATTAACCACATTGCGATGGTGATTGTGATTGTGATTGTGATTGGGTGTTCTCTTCATCATTTTCCGGCCTCCACGGACGGCGGCGGGAGCTCTGTTTTGGCCGGGGAATCTAAGTGGGGGGGAAAATGGAGAAAGATTAATCTTTTGAAAGTGGGATTTCTTGTTTTAAGAAGAGGAAAAAAGAAACTAATAATTTGATGAAATTGGAAGAAGCGGAATGGATTTTTGTGCCGACAAAAAACAGAGTGTCAGTTGATGAATGAAAGTGGGGTTTTATACCGCCGGAGAACTGTCGTGTTCGTCAGACTTCCGGGGAAGCTGACTGGAAAGTTCCCACCTCCAATGGGAGACTGCCACGTCATCCGGTCAGCTAGATTGTTTTTCGATGACAGCTAAGCTGAAGATTCGTGCCGACATTTTAAGAAAGCATCCGAGGTAAGAGAAAATATATAAAAATAAATAAAGGCGGGGAACGTCGACACGTATACACATTCCATTGGATGGTGACTGACTGTGGAAGACAGGCAGGTAACTTAATCTCTCTCTCTCTCGCTCTCTGATTTTTGTATGTTTTTTTATTTACTAATTTGCCATTAATTTTTCTTCTATTATTGTGATATGAAGTCTGAACATACATCTGTACTTTTTTTTTAAAATATATATATATATATATATATATATATATATATATATATATATATATATATATATAAAACAATAATAATATAGTTTGGATTAAGGATTGAAATTCAATTATCCAATTCAAATTAAGTTTTAATAATTAAAAAAACTATATCTCAATCAATTTTCTAAGAGGTAAGAAGTTTGAATCTCTTGTTGTTGAACCGTTATTACGAGTGAATATTTTCAAGAGGCAGCTCAACTTCAAGTCGAGTGTCAGGTGTTATGATCCCTGGTTGGTACGAATAAGACTCATGTTGGTTTGTACAGATAGTTTTCACTTTTAAAATCAGTTCGACACAAGTAGATACCGTGAGTGAGTTGTAGAAAAATGTCATGAGTTATCGGAGTTATCAAAGCACGAATTTCATACCACAAAAAAAAACCGTCTCGTGATCCATTAGAATTGAAAGGAAGACTTATCAACCTAGGAGAAACTTAGAGTTAATACCACATAGTGAACCCAACAAATTGTCAGAAGTATTTATATACAAAGAGCACCACGTTTAAGTTTACAATCGTTCACTATCAAATGGTTCAAGCCAAAGGCAACCGAGGCTTTGGTTTGATCCGAATCACTAGCAAAATGTGCAACGTCAACCAAAGTTTTTTACCAATCATAAACATGAAGCGTCGGGATATGCAAAAATTTGAGTATTCTCCTTAAATTAGATGTGTCATTGTAATACTATATAATACATAGAAAATAACATAAAATTATATTATATTCTAATTTTAAAACTATAAATTTCACGACAAACACGAGGTAATATTTTAGAAGGTAGAACAATTCCAACATGTTTTACTTGTTGGGCAATACGTTGGAGTTGATAGGCAAGCTCGACCGGCTTGGATACTATGACCATATGATCTGATCCTTTAATCTCCACAACAATATCGGGTGGGTTATTTTTAATCATCCACAGTTGAAAATTCATTGTCGTCATTAAATCTCTCTCTGTAATAACGTAAGCCCTTTTCACAGACCCATATCTTTCTTATGTGAACTTGAACTCAGAATCATTGATTTTCAATAGAGGAAAAGGTCTCACCTATGTGATTGCCAATGACAAATCCTGCATGTTACACACATATCGTAAAGTTTTAAGAGTCTTTTTCGATTAATTTTTCAAGTGCTTAAAAATTATTTCGGTTACAAAGTCAGTTCAAACATATTGAATTAGAGGAGTGAAAGGAGATTACCTCGGGTGGTGAGAGTGAGTAGAGATGTTTTGCCAACTTCAAATGACCCAAAATATAAGACGTTGGAGGCTTGTCCTCTCCATTTTCGTACACATTATGACTGTCCAACTGTGGAGATCGTTCCTTTGTGAATATAGCAACAACAAAGAAAAGTTTAATGTAAGCAAATGCCTAGCCTATCGCTATAGGTTATTAATATGTCGATTTTATGTACAACATTTTAATAAATTTTTCGAGAATAATTATGGTTAACGAAACATAATATTATTCGAAACAAAAACAAAAGATAATAGGATATATCAATAATCCAAACTTCGTGTCAAATTTTCCAATTTATGAGTCGATTGGTTTAGGGTCTGTTCTACGTTGACAACTAAGTTGAGTATCAAAAACATAAAGTTATTAAAAAAGTTGATCCTTTTGAAAACAAGTTATCCCCAATCTGGCCATTAAAAAAGTTCAAAATTTAATCGGAACCTATTGAATTTGTAATCGGTTGGAGAGGAGAGGAGAACGAAACATTTTTTATAAGGGTGTGAAACCTCTCCCTAGCAGATCTATTTTAGAAACCTATAGAGAAAGCTCGGAAGAGATAATCCACAAAAGACAATATTTGCTAATGGTGCGTTTTGAACTATTACAAATTGTATGAGAGTCGAACATCGAGCGATGTGTCAGCTGGGACTCAAAAGGGGTGGATTGGGGAGTCTCACATCGACTGGAGAAGGGAACTAGTGCCAGCAAGGACATAGGCACAAATGAGGTAGATTGTGACGAGTGCTAGCGAGAAAGCTGGGTCCCGAAGATAGTGAATTGTGAGATCTCACATTAGTTAACGAGCAAAACGAATCATTCTCTACAACTTTGGTTAGCAGCCTCATTCTAAAAATTTACCTCTGCACGAACGGTGGAAACACTGAGATTGGGAGCAGCTATGGAGGCAGCGATAAAGACACCAACAGAGATCTTTTCTGGGAATTCCTCCAAAGCAACGGCAACTCCCAGCCCGCCGAAGCTGTGGCCGACGAGAACCACCCTCTCGCCGGAGGGAAAACCGGCCAAGAACTCCGTCAACGGCTGAAAGTACTGAAACGCTGAGGATATTGTCTTTGGCTGCCTGGGGTCGACGCCGGAGGCGGCCATGTCAAGGGCAGTGACGTCGTCGCCCCACGATTGGAGTATGGTGGAGAGCTTGTACCATGACCACACCCCATGGCAGGAACCGTGCACCAGCATGAAGTGGTTCTTTTTCTTTGTGGGTTCGCCGGCCGCCGATAGGATAAGAAGATGAGAAGCAGCAGATGCCTCACCAGAGATGAGCCGTTTTTCATTTGGCGGTGTGTGTGAGCCATTAGAATACAACAATTTTTAGGTGAAAATTTGAAGACGAGAGCCGAAAACATTTTCTAAGGATTTAAGAAATCAAGAGAAACGTGCTTCGTATAATAATATTTCTTTTAATTGAAATTGATATTATCAAAGATTTTATTATCTTATGTTCATGGGTGCGAGAGTACGATCAATCTTATTATTAAATTTTAAAAATATCATATAGGTCGAAAAATTAAAATTAAAATTTTATGAAACGATAGGTTAGAGTCGAATGGTCAAAGTTTTTAAAATATAAATCTTCTTTTTCAATTATTTTTAATTATTCACCATTCATTTATTTTTAATTAATTTTTCAATTGTAACAATTATACATAATTAAATTTCTTTATAATTTTATAATATTTATTATTTAAGGACAATAATTTTAATTTATTAAGAAACCAATTTTAAATTATATCATTTAGTAATAAATGCAAATTAAATGAAAACTTAATTAGTCAAAATTATTATAATAATTTGACTTAATAAAATCTAACCACCTACAATTAATTATTTAAAATTAACTAATGTAATAAACTTTTCAAAATAATTATGGAAACTAAATAGAAATATTATTTATTTATATAAAAAATTTATTGCATTATCATTTCTATTTCTATATATTTTATTTCTAGACGTGTTTAAAAAAATCAATCAAACAATTCTTTAGTCTTAAATGAATATTATATATTAGGAGATATATGCTTCTAATATATTTTAATTATTTGAATTGTTGTCAATTTAATTCTATTATTTTGGTATAATGGTACCTTTCACTTGCATCGGCCATAAATTCCACGTGAAAATATACATTATTAAATATCTTCATTATTTCTTTTTCTAATTTAATTCAGTGAATAAAAAATAGAAGTCTTACCAAATATATATATTAAGAATTATCTGAAGTCATGAAAAGTTATTATTGTATAATAGAAGGGTAGAAGTGCAAACAAAAGCAGCAAACCTAACCATATGCATAGAAAAATTATGGATTATCAATTTTTAGATAAAAATTAAATTTATCATTGTTATTGTTATTGTTATTTATTTATTTATTTATTTATTTATTTATTTATTTATTTATTTATTTATTTATTTATAGTTGTCAAGGGTGGGGCTTGATACATGTGATATATGGACGTTAAACGTTAAGCACACACAAACCATGGAACCAAAATATAGGGACCAAAGACATGACTTGAATCTAATGGTCCTTTGTAGTCGCACAACTTAGGAATGCTCTCGTCTTTCTGGTTCATATTCAATCGGTCAATCTTTGTCAAATGTTCTATAATCCTCTATTCTATGGTTTTCTCATTTTCGAACTCCATTTGGATTCTAATTGTTATCGAGTTTAAGCTCATTGTTCTACAACATATGGCCCTATCGAGGCTCATATTGTTCTCTGGTTCTCATAAAAAGAAAAGTTAGTTCCTTGGAACTGATCAATTCTCGTAATTAGACTTTTTAGAGCTTATCATATCTCATGGTCGAGCTCCTCTAGAGCTCATATAATTTCTCACTGTCTAGTTCATCTAAGCTTTTTTGCTATTCTCATGCAGGATTACCCTAGTTTTTTCTTGGACAGTTCAATTCAGTTCACTTCAATTTTATTCCGGTAACCTGCATATCACCGGTGCTCAAGCTGCAACCTCGTCACGATTCCAACTCATAATCTTAGCATATCGTAATGAATACTGCCAACGAGATATATTTCTCAAAAGGGATTAGTTAGTGTCTCAGTAGGTCACATAGTCGCATCAAGGAGGGAACGACTCTCATACTTGCCAACCATCATTTACCTATGTGATCCGTTGCTCCCATTTGAACACGTGCATGACGAAAGAACAGTTGACGATCCCCTTATCCGCTCTCACATATTAATTATATACTACTATAAGGTTCATACATTTTAGGTCTCAAACATGTCTGTACCCATCATAATCATAAGAATACAAGAGCATATTCCAATCAAATGAGACGTGCTCGCTACTAAAAATTAATTGACAACCCTAATAGTCCATACATTATACGATCACATCTTAAACAAACTAATCTATTAATCAAGTAAACAAGAACGAACTTTTTTCTCTAAATTTCCTTTTTGAATCAACTTGAATCATAAACACAATCAAACATGAAACAGTACGTAACACACTTAGATTCTCCAAAGCTCTGTTTACAAGGGTTATGAAATGTGCTATTCTAACTCTAATATTCACAGAATCCCTAATTAAATAAAGAACGAGAGGAAGTAGGAAGAAATTTCTCCCTAATAGTCAGCGCAGTTAGATTCCACGCCTCTGTCCCCACTCCTCTATGTCTCGTTTTTTTTTTCTATATATATATCAAAATTAAGGCACCAAACTAACTCGTTATACTTATTTATTTACTTTATATTAAGTCGATTTAAATATAGTTTATTAATAATTAAAACTGGTAGGTATGCATCTAAACTATTGAAAAAGGAATTGAATTAAATGAATGAGTGGGTAAGAATTTAATTAGCATGTAAAATATGAAAGGCAATAAAATTAATGGGTTGGTGATATGAATGGAGTTGTTATTATAAAATCCACCACCTGGGGGAAGATGAACATCAAGAACCAAATTAAATTTTGGTATTGCTTCATCAAATTTTGCATTCAATTTTTGAAAATGGGTAGCATCCATTATGAAAACAACAACAACATTCATATCACCAACCCATTAGATCCAGAGGAATTCAGAAACCAAGCATACAAAGTTGTTGATTTTATTGCAGATTATTACAAAAACATAGAACAATTCCCAGTTCTTAGCCAAGTTCATCCTGGTTATCTCCGAAAAACCCTTCCCCAACAATCCGCTCCGGATGATCCCGAGTGTTTGGAATCCATTCTTCGAGACGTCGACCGATTTGTCGTTCCGGGTATTTCTCATTGGCAAAGTCCTAACTTTTTTGCTTACTTTCCTTCTAGTAGTAGCACTGCCGGACTTCTGGGAGAAATGCTGAGTACTGGGTTCAATGTCGTCGGTTTCAATTGGGTGTCATCGCCGGCGGCTACCGAGCTTGAAATGTTGGTGGTTGATTGGTTTGGTGAGATGCTTAAGCTGCCTAAATCTTTCCTTTTTTCTGGCGGCGGCGGTGGCGGCGGGGTTCTTCAGGGAACCACTTGTGAAGCAATTTTGTCCACTCTGGTGGCTGCTAGGGACCAGAAGCTTAAAGTGATTGGAAGAGATATGTTTAGTAAGCTTGTTGTTTATGGCTCCGACCAAACACATATGTCCTTACAAAAGGCTGCACAGGTCGCAGGTCGGTAAACCCTAGATACAACATATCCTTCACCTCATGCACATACATACATACATACATACATACATACATACATATATCTTCTTCAACATTGATTTATTTGACCAAAATAATATTAAAATTGAATGTTGCTAAAGAATCAAGAAGGGCCAACCTTGAGTTTATTTTATTGACTAATTAAGTATAAATTGGGTTATGTCTTTTTTCTGATGTGAGATCTCATGTCGGTTTGAGAGGAGTATGAAGCACTCTTTATAAAGGTGTAGAAAACGCGTTTTAAAATTGTGACGCTGATAATGATATGTAATTAACCAAAACGAATAATATTTATTAGTGGTGGGCTTCGGTTGTTATAAATGGTATCAGAGCTAGATACCGAATGGTGTGCCAGCGAGAACGCTGACCCCACAAATGAGTGGATTGTGAGATCCCATATTAGTTGGAGAGGGGAACGAAGCAATGCTTATAAGGGCGTGGAAACTTCTCCCTAATAGATGTGTTTTAAAATCGTGAGATGATATATAATGAGCCAAAGTGAATAATATTGTTAGCGGTGAGCTTGAGCTGTTACATCTAACCCCAATCCTGTACAAATTCACACACGGCTCACTTCACTCACTCTTTATATATTATTCTTTTTTAAGTATCAAAAACTACGTAGTAATGTTGAAACTATGTTGAAGATTATATTATACTCTTGCTTATAAAATATTATCTGAGAATATTTTACATATAGAATTTATATTGAAAAACCAAAATCATCCACTAACATTTTTTTGAAATTAGATATTTTAAAAAATATATATATTAATTTTTTTTTTTAAATGTCACGGAGAATTCGTTGGATCCGATCCACACGAATAAGAAAATCACTACCTCGATATCTACCAAAATGTTAGTACTTAATTTCAAAAATATCATTAAATTTCGAAGAATGTTTCTAAAATATCCTAAATTTTCAAAAAAAAATTATTATTACCTTAAACTTTTTTAAAAAAAAAATATAGTATTAAAATTTGGAAAGTTTCTTCAATTATCATGTTTGATCATTCAAATTTGGACGCAGGTTTTGGAGAAGAAAATTTTCGAGTGATCAAGACGACAAAATCGGATTCGTTCGGGCTATCTCCAACCTCCCTAAAAATGGCAATTCAATCCGACATAGAAAAAGGATTCGTCCCACTATACCTATGTGCAACCATCGGAACAACTTCCACCAACGCGGTCGATCCACTCGACTCACTCTGCGAGATAGCTCAACAAAACAGAATTTGGGTTCATGTCGACGCCGCATACGCCGGTAGCGTCTGCATATGCCCGGAGTTTCGACATTTCCTCAACGGTGTCGAGAAGGCAAATTCATTCAGCTTGAATGCTCACAAATGGTTCTTCACGGCGCCGGATTGTTGTTGTCTATGGCTGAAGGATCCGTCAGCATTGAGAAGCTCTCTCTCAGTGAACCCTTCATATTTGAAGAACAAAGCAACAGATTCCGGCGAAGTTGTGGACTATAAAGACTGGCAGATTACATTGAGTAGAAGATTTCGTGCCATGAAATTATGGGTTGTCATGAAAAGCTATGGAGTTGCTAATTTAAGGATGTTCTTGAGGAGCCATGTCAAAATGGCTAAGCTTTTTGAGGAGCTTGTGGAGAGGGATGAGAGGTTTGAGGTGGTGGTTCCGAGGAATTTCGGGTTGGTTTGTTTCCGATTATCGTTTTCTGAAATCGATAAGTCGAACGCGATGAACTTGAAATTGTTGGAAAGGATTAACAAGTCAGGAAAAGCTTTTATGACGCATGCAATGGTTGCGGGAATGTATCTGATTCGATTTTCTGTAGGTGGGACGATGACAGAGGAACGACATGTCGTTACAACGTGGAAGCTAGTGCAGGAGCTAGCTGATGAAATATATTTAATGTAACGTTCATGGTAAGTTGATTGGATTCGTTCGGCTCATCGAATTAGAGTCGAGAGAAAAAATCGAGCTCAAATGGTTTAGAATCTAGGTTGACCAAGTCAAGGGTCAATTAGGTAGACGCTTCTCTCTCTAATATTTTTAATAATCAACAATTTTCACTTTTTTTTTTCAGGTAAGAGTGAGAGTATCTTCGATGATTGACAGTGTTTCTATGGAATAGTGAGGACTTTGTCTTAATTCCAAAAATGAGATGAATTTTATGTTTTGAGATTTGAACGTTATGTTGTATTATTTAAAGTTTTTTTGAAATTTCAAATAAAAGTATAATAATCGAAAGTTTCTTTTGTAATTTTATTTATGCATTTTATTAGACACAAAATTAAAATTTTGAAAAATTTATTAACACATAATTGATGAAGTTTAAAGATTATATTACACTTCATAAAGTTGAAGTCGAAGTTGAAGGTGTTGGAGGTAGTTTTGTATTGTGATTGGCCTGCAAAATTGTGGTGGTTGTGGTGGGGGCGGTGGTGGAGGATGGGAGAGGGGGTGATTGTTGATGGTATTGTCGGAGTCCTATATTGGTTAATTAAAAAAAAAGAATATTGGTGAATAAATAAGAGATACTATCTTCGTTCGTATAAGGCTTTTTGGAAAAACCAAAAGCACAGTCATAAGTGTTTATGTTCAAAATGGAGAATATCACACCGTTGTAATAGTCATTGTCCTGCTCGATGCTAGCCCTAGCAAAAATATTAAAAAAAAAACAATTTTATATTTTTACTAACCATTACAATGCATAAGAAAAACACATTAGTGCATCTTGGTTTGGACCCTAGTCATCCAGCTACAGTTGGCCACGCTACTAGCTCTTTTTTTTAAAAAAAACATTTTAAATTTTTTATATTGTGGTTAGATCGACCAATTTTGTATACAGATTATAAGGATTTTGACTCGTGAAGTGAAAGCTTTACACATCAAAGACATCGCTTTTGTCAAGGTATTGTAGCAAAACCACCAAACAAAAGAAACCACGTAGGAGCGAGACGATGAAATGAAGGAGAAATACCCTAAGGTATTCTTTAGACACTTTCGAGTTTCGACGATGATTTTTTTTTTTAGATGTATATGATATAACAATAAGTAGTTGGAAATAACAAATTCAAAAATCGATTCACCACGATACCCAATTTTCTTTTTTTAGGGTCGCCAGAGAACTCGATAATAAAAAACTACCCTCCTCTACTTAAGCTTTCTCATGTCGTGACAACTTTCAGATTGTGTATGCATGATTCACATATTTAATATGTTATACATGAATGAAGGTTTTTCTTGCATCATAATTTATGTTATGTTTATAAGTTACAGAGACCTCATACATATTTGTGTGTCATGTATATCGAGATACTTTTCCATTGTGATAAATACGAACGTGTATATTAGGACTTATGATTTATAACATTTTATGTTCACCATGATATTACACGGATCTTTTTTTTGTGGTGTTTAGCACAGCACAACCCATTAGTAAGTGCTAGCCCGAAGAGCTAGACCCAAAGGTTGTGTAAGCTCGCCTAGTGAGTCCATACTCCCATACATGGACGATGTGAAAGAAAGTATTACCCCATCAAATCGAAGTTGTTTAACTTTGCCATCAACGAAAGAACAAGGAACATGCTTCAAAATTGATTTTTTTTTATTATTTTTTTATTTTTTGGACTACGACCAATCAAATTTTTTCTTAGCTCTACAGACCAAAAAGTAAATCTTGACTTCTTCCTAATCGCGTTGTCGGTCAACTTTTTCTTCCATTTTATTTTCTATATGCCTAATTTATTTATACATATACACAAATCAATGGAGCTATCCCTTAATTAATAAAAATATTTTTAAAATTTATATTTTATCTAAAATTATTTTTAATCTTTCCAAAGTTTGAATGCTACTATATAAAATCTAAAAAAAAATACTTTTACTGTTAATTTTAAATAAAAATAATTGGTACTTTTCTCAAAAAAAAAAAAAAAAAAATTATTAAACTTTCATCCGTACTTCTAAAATATTTTTGAATTTAATTTTTTTATTAATACCATTAATATTTTTCTTATTATAAAATTTAAAAATATAATTACCAAAAATACTTATTAAATTTTAAAAATATCATTAATACTCTTAATACTTATAAAAAAAACAACTTAAATAATTCTTTAATATATGGCCAAAAACTATATAGTTTTTAATATTACTTTAGAAAGTTTACGAATATTTTTTAAATGTAGAAAAGATAATGGGTAAAATTTAAAAATATTATTTTAAGAAAGTCGGTAATTTTACCACTGAGTTACTTTTACTTTATTACCATTTAAACTTAGATTAATATTATCATTTTTACCATAGATTCTCAAATTTGAAGAATTGTTAAAATAATATATATACGGAAAAAAACCATTTAAACTTTAAAATAATCCGTTAGTAGAAAATAAGAGAAACATAATATATATTCCAATTATTCAAAGTTTTTTTTTTTTTTTTAGTAAATTATTTAAAGTTGAGAATAAAAAATATAAAAATTAAGATATGTTATCTGGAATGGACTGGTTTTGGACCATTCAGATATTTTTACAATGCATTTTGTCGTTTTATCTATTTTAAAAACACATTTAATTGCAAATAATAGACTTGTCGGAGAAAATTTATTATTTTCAGACTTCATTTTATTTTATTTTTTATTGAAAAGTATGCAGAGACATTATTGAGACATTATTAATGCAGCATCAATCAACATTATAACGACAATTACTTAGAAACAAAAGAAAATATATATATAATTTAATTAATATATTATGACCCGACTAAGTCGTTATTACACATACGTTTAAAAACGGTTCAAGACGACTAGAGAGTTATAGAGGAAAATCATTTTTCTTCCTAATAATAAAAAAATTTAAGTCTATCCTCTGTTCATGTATGACATATCTAATATGTGAAGAAAATCCTTTAAAACAATTTACTGACACATGGTCGTAGTTGACTCTCTGTTCTAGAGAAAGTTTTTTCGGCTGCCTAACTTTATAAGTTTTAGTGATATGAACCACGACCAAGGAATTTCCATAGCTCAAGGATCAATAACAAGGACGAGAGCCAAGAAACTACAACAAACTTTGTACATTTATATTCAAGTTATGGTGAGCTCATCAAAAGAAATTCTAGAAATCTCTGTTATATATTGTGCAAAGTTGAGCTTTAATAAGATGCATTAAATGCACTTTAAGTTGCATTTAAATGACCTCAGTTAAATTTATGGAACTAGTCCAATACTAATAAACATATTTTCTCCCTTACACTATTTAATTATAATTTAAATATTTGTTTGTCAAGTTATTTTTTAATAAGGAAATAAGGAATTAAGGTTATTTTTTAATAGGTTACTCTATAAAGCCTCATTTTCTTTGATGAGAGACATCACATTTTGGAATTAAAAAAAAGAATAAAATTTCTATTTTTTTTAGCTTGGTTGAGAGCTAAGATTTTATTTGCCAATTCTTGTATTTAGAACTTACATGCTAGAGTCATTCAAGTAGTATTGATCAAATCTTTTGTAGAGTGATTCGAATCACGAGTTTAGAAACGAATTTTCTTTACTCTTGATCTTGATTATCAAAGTAATTTGTTTCATACTTTTCCTTGGGTTGATTCTATATAATCTGGATTAGATAAGGTTATTTCTCTCGAGCATGGTGCAAATATAAGAATTTTTTGTATATCTATAAATATATATTTTAAAATTAAATGGAAGAAAAAATAGTACAATTTATGTGGAAATATAAAATAAATATTGGATTAGATGAGGATGAAAGGAAGAATAATTTGGTATATCTATAAATATATATTTTACTCAAAACTGTAGCCCGAAAATGGTGACTTTACAATAATTGTACTTACTAAAAATATGGAGCAAGTACATTTTGCATCTTTATTAATTATAATATAAGATACGCCCAAATATAATTTTTATATCACCCATTAATTATTATTTCACCAAAATAAATTTGTCTCTATTTCGCTTAAAATATAATTATATTTTCATGCATCATTTATATTCATTATTTTATAAATTTATTTATTTATTTTGGTATATATGTATATATACTCTTAATAATTATAAAGTATAAGCTCTCGTGACGTAATTTTGGACTTCCTAAAAGGCTTCGTACCAATGGAAATAGTATTCATCGTTTATAAACCCACGATCTTCCACTAAATTAATGAATATGGGACTCTCCTAATAATCCTCAACACGGCTAGCCACTCTCCAAGGTCAAAGATAAGGTTGTACCACATTCAAAGTTGGGGAAGTTCAAAAATTTGGATGATCCAAAAAACTCAATCAACACATTAGAATCTGGTCAACATTGACTCGAAAGCCTCCGAGTTCTTGGAAACTTCATAGGACCTAATCTCTCGGACCATTGGTCCCCAAGTCATATTAATTAATTATTACGAGCCAGCCAACCACGTTCAAAAAATAAATTAAATAAATTGAATAAATTTCAAAATGACTGAATTCTTACCCGGCGGCTTTGAATTTCTTCCCAAAATTTAGGCCCCATCTACATCTAATATTATTATATTTGCAAATTGACCTCATGTATTTATTACACATAAAATGACATGAACGCCCTTCTATAACCCACCAATAATAATTCGCCACGTCTAACTACAGTTTCTTTGACCGTTTTACTAGCCTCCAATACACTCCCTTCTCGTCGTTGACTTGACCACGTCATCCCAAACCCGTCCGTAAGGGGTTGGTTCTTTCCACGTAATCTTCATTTTCATCTTCTATAAATTCTCAAGAAATCAATTCATTTCACCCCAAAGAACAATTATCCATTTTCTATCTCATTTTCTCTGCATTTTTTTCTCGGCAACCAAACAGAAAGCTTGAGCTTAGCCATGGAGGGGAGAATCGTGACGCCGAGAGGAGTCCCACTGAAAAGAGTAACGATGTTAAGGAACGGAACAAAGAAGACGAAATGGTATTGGAAATTGAAATGGGGGATCCGATTAAGAGCCATAAAAAACGCTCTGTCTTCTTCCTTACACAACCAGCGCCGCCGTCTGACATGTTCCACCGCTACCGGCCAACTAACTCCCGTCAAC